AAGCGCCTCCCTGGTCACCGCTCTCCGGTGGCTCGCCGCAAAGCAGATCACCCACGTCGCCCAACAGCTCCAGGTACGCACACGCACACACACTGCCGCACACGCACCACCGCACACGCTCAAGTGACGAGCGACTAATGCCTCGGCAGGCTGACGTGGTGGCCGGGAAGGACGTGGAGGAGGCGTGGAACGACAACCTCATGGCCCTCGTCTCCTGCTCCCGAGTGCACACGTGGTACTTTGTGGTGAACTTCTTCCACCAGGTGGTCGAAGAGCAGCGCCAGCAGCGCACGAACGCCGATGGCCAGGCCGGTATCGCGCCGACGCTGCACAAGCTGTGCCTCCTCTTCGCCCTCGACCGAGTCCACGCCGAGGCCGCCCTCTTCCTCGAGTACGGCTACATCACAGGTATGCCCACCGTTCGCCCTTCGCTTTCCATTCTTTTCTTGTTCTTCGCTCTTTTTCGTTTTCGTCTTCGTTTTCGTTTTTGGTTTCGTGCCTGACGTGGTTGAATCTATAACAACAGGTGAGGAGGCAGCGCTGGTGCGCAGGAGCCACCTGAAACTGTGCCGCGAGGTGCGCAAGGACGCCGTACTGCTGACCGACGCCCTCGCCATTCCCGACTACGTGCTCAAGGCGCCCTTCGGCGCCTACGACGGCGACATCTACCGGAAGTACTTCGAGGTTGACCTTCGCTCTCTCTTTGGTGACACCATCAGCTCAGTGTTGACTAACCACATTCCCCACACCATGTACAACTTGAAGGTGGTCACCAGCGCACCGCAGACCAACGTCAACGGACGTCCCTTCTACTACGAGGAGAGTGTGGCACCGCTCATACGCGGCGTGGACCTTGCCGGCCGCAGTCCCGCCAAGCTCTGAGAGCTTCGTTTTTCGGCCGAACGAAGAAAATAGCGAAATTTCGCTCTTTTATTTTCGGATATTTCTTTCTCCTTTTCTTGGCAGGATGACGTAAGCATGACCAAAGGAGGAATAACGGACACCTGAATTGCGAATAGGATTCGGTGTTTGTTGATCAAATTCTCAATCAAACATGGCGTGCGTGTTGTGTCGATTAGCCAGGGTTGCCTGCGACGGGTATTATACCCTTTACCGTGCAAATTCTTAAACTTGATTGCGATCTCACATCTTCATCCTCCTCCGTGAAATGGCACAGACAAGAGCCGTGCACACGGTGCCGAACTCACGGGTGGTCGCATCGGTGCTTCTACATGGACCGACGACGGGGCCGACCAAAACAGCAACGCCGCGTAGCGCCAGGCATGTCCCCCCTCTATATATATAAATATATATATATATCGCTACGTTCGACTCCCCTGTTTGGAGGAGCTCTGGGAGCCTTGCCCCCACACCCATTGGGCATGCCTGCTCCTCGTTCCTCGTCCTAGAGCCAAGCTGCCCCCCGTTATATCGATGTAGCGATTGGGGGCTGGTTGTCTGATGCCCACACAGTCTGTTGGTTCTGTGTAGTGGCAGATGGCGCACCACACACACACAACACACACCACACGCACACCACACACAACACACACACACACATACACACGACACTCACAGTACGTTTCTCACAAACATAGGCTGTCGTTTGTTTCAGGTGTCACGAACATGACGGCCATCAAGCCGCTGCCAACCGGGGGCGCTCCCGCACCCTCCTTCTCCTCCAGCGGCGCCACATCGGGCGCCTCCTCGCCCGACCACTCCGTCGCCAGCACCAGCACCACCGCCAGCACCAACCACTTCATGCACTCGCCGCCGCCCGCTCCTTCGTACGCGCAGCCGATGCCGACGAACCTTAGCTACGGCCTGGGCCTGGGCTTGGATGGGGCCATGGGCTCGCCACTGGCCCGCGGCAGTAGCGTCGGTGGCGTTGGTAGTGGCGGTGGTGGTGGTGCGACGGCGGCCAATGCGTCAGACCTGCTGCTGTCGTTCCTCACGCAGACGGTGCGCGAGATGAAGGAGAAGATCACCTCGCTCGAAGACGACAATCAGCACCTGCGCACGAAGCACCGCAAGCTGAAGCGCCGGCTTAAGGACAACGACGAGCGGGTCGAGCAGCTCTTCAGCACCGTGGCCAACCTGGCCCAGGTCCAGGCTCCACACCCGCAGCAGCAGCAGCGCGTCCAGACTATGCCGACGGCAAGATCCAATTTCTACGCGTCGACATTGTCGTCGTCATCGTCGACAATGCAACCCTCATCAACGTCACCACCGTCGTCGTCATCATCTTCGCCAACGTCTTCGTCTGCCTCGTCGTCGTCGTCATCGTCGTACGATAGCTACTACGCCTACCCGCTGCCGACGGCGACCACTTCGACGACGTCGCGGCTCGCCCTGTCCCACCACCAGCCGCATCAGCAGATGCCGCTGCAGGACTTTCTCGATCGCTCGCTTGCGACCGAGAACGCCGCCTCCGCTGTTTCCTATGGGTCCGGCGGCGGCGGCGGCGGCGGCCAGTCGACGTCGGCTCTTCACAACCACCAGCGAGCGACCCTGTTGCAACAGTACCAGCACCAACGGCAGCAGATGCATCAACAGCAACAGCACCAACAGCTGTACCCGGGCGCTGGCGATCAGTCGAGCACCATCTCTGGCTACGCCGCGCCGCCGGTGTTCTCGATGACGGCCGGGTTTCAGCAGCTGCAGCAGAAGCAGCAACAGCAGCCGGCGGCGGCGGCGGCGGCGGCAGCGGCGGCGGCGATGCGGATGATGATGGAGCCGGGCCCGGCGTGCGGCGTGCCGGGCCTCGGCGTGCCGTCGTATATGATCAACTCGGTCAGCGACATCAAGCGCCACTTCCCCTATTTTGACGAATGCTACTTCGACAAGACGCACTTTGTGGTCAACGACCTGCGGTTCGTCTTCCCACTGCCACATGCTTCATACGATATGTGCTGCTCTCCTACTCACTGCTATGCACACCCACGCCCACATCACCGTACACACGCACCACCGCACACGCACACACCACCGCACACGCACCACCGCACACGCGCACACAGGAAGCCGTATCTGGTGATGCAGTTCGTCAGCATGGATTCGACGGTGGTGACCGCCAGCGATGCCTACTGCTCGCTCTCGGGATTCACCCTAGTACGTACCAGTTCCACTCTGTGGCATTGACTGGCTGGCTGACCGGCAAATCACGCACACACACGCGCGCGCACGCACACACACACAGCACGAGGTCTGTCACACCAAGAAGCTGGTCGCCCTCCTCCCGCGAAGCTACAAGAAGCGCATGATCCCGCTCTTTGTCCACAAGTGCGTGTTGTGTTTCTTCTTCTTCTTACTATGTTCAGTAGTGTGATAATGTTCTTAACATTCCTTGGCCGCTGCTGCTGCTGCTGCGCTCGCGATACACAGTAACGAGCCGAACTCTACGACGATACTGGAGACGGCGGGCCAGCTGGTGCGCAAGGACGGCCAAATCGTGAGCCTCGACTACCAGATGCAGTTCTTCTTCGATGCCCAGGGCAAGGTGCGACGCCGCCGCCGCCGCCGCCGCCGCCGCCACCACCGGGGCACAGCAGTGTGCCTCTCTGGGGGTTGGTCCGCAACGTCGCCGTCTAAATCCCCCCCCCCAATCCCACCCCGCGTGCGCACAGGTGAAATGGCTGTGCGCGTCCATCGAGAAGATGGTGGGCGTCGACAAGTCCTTCGTGTACAACAACTCGTACGATGCGCAGAACGGTACATTACCATTATTTTTTCTTATACATACATTAATATATATATTGAAATATATTTTTTTTTATCTATGACCGGCGCACGGTTGTTGATCATCGGCTTTCTGCACAGACGAGGAGCGGATCAAACTACTGCGGGACCGGCTGCGGGACCAGGAGAAGCAGGAGTGGGACGAACTCATCCACGAATACCTCCGAAGCACGGCCCCGGTGCCCGTGCTCACCCTCACCCCGTGCCTCGAATCCGACATCGCCGCCACGCAACAACAGCAACAACAACCCTCTTCCAACGCCGCTTCTTCTTCATCATCATCATCTTCTTCTTCTTCTTCTACAGCCACGTCGTCGTTGACCCAGCAAGATTTGCCGTCGACGCCGTCGTCATCGTCGTCATCACTGGCCTCGTCGCGAGCAGGGTCGGCCGGCGGAGTCTCCACCACTTCGTCGTCGGGCATCAACTCGCCGCCGGTGTCGCCGCTGTCGCCCATGACCACGAGCTGGCTGGCGGAAATGCTCGCCACCCCGCCCAGCACCTCGTCCTCCGGCGCTGCCAACAACAACACCAGCGACATGGGCTACGACTGCCCGTAGCGCGAGCCGCCAATGGTGTAATAGCGAATTATTTATGATCTACCAACTCCAGAACACTCATGTGGACCAGAAGCTTCGGTGATGATGATGACGCTGTGGACGTGTTTCTTAAGTCTTCTGGAGAGTTCTGTCTGTGCTGCAGAGAGGACGAGTGCTCCTGCGAAGAGGAGGAAGTCCGCATGCTCGTGCCGAACTTTATGCATAAAGTTCTTCTTCTCGCCCAACATCGCTGTCTACCTCCAGACACTTTGCGATGTGCAAAACGGTGCATAACGTTACGCGTTGGGGCAGGTGTTTGACTTGGCTGCCAAGAGCTAGTGTTCTCGTTGGACAACCCCAGCGTTGGCTTGAAGTGATCACATCGCAGGAGACGCGTTGTGGGCAGGGCCAGCCGAGCAAGCTCGCAGGCGCCCACCAGGCCGGCGTTGCCACCGAACGGCGAAAGCGTGATGTAGTTGCCAATGCCTGACTCTGTGTACGCGCACCGGAACACGTCCCTATGAGAAACAGAAACACGCACACGCACACGCACACGCACACGCACACGCACACGCACAGAGATTGTGAAGAGGGGAGGGATCGTACCCGTGATGGCGGGCACCTTGATGTAGCCGTTGAGCAGTGCCAGCACGTGCTTGTGCACGAGCGGCAAAATGGTGGGCTGTATACGATACGCCGCGGGCCGCGTTAGTCCCAGCCAGTGTTTGGTGGGGGGGAGGGTGGCACAGTCGCGTACCCGCTGCATGATGCCGCCGCCCATGACGATGCGGTGCGGCGATACGGTCAGCACGAGGGCCGCGCAGAGCTGGGCCAGGTAGTAGGCCACGTGGTCCCACTCCTCCCTGTCGTCAGCTGACCAACAACCAAGCCCCGGTCAGCTTTCGCTTTCGTTCTTTCGTCCCCTCCCCCCCCCAAGGGCTAAGGGGTGGTATGTCCATACCGACGTCCGACAGATCCGTCCGCTCCACGCCGAACCGCTTGGCCAACGCACGACTGCGATCGCCACACGACACACGACACACGACACACGACACACGACACACGACACACGACACACGACACACGACACACGACACACGACACACGACACACACCAAGAATGAAGAAAAAGAACGAAAGAGAGAAAGTGAGACGAGAAAGAAAGAAGGAAACCAGCTCCCGGGTGGTGAGATACCTGGCCACGAGTCCCTCGACGCAGGCCCCCGTGGAAGGGGCACGTGCCCTCGAAGTCGTCGCCCTTGGCCATCCGCACGCTGTGGTCCACCGATTGTAAGAACGAATGCGACGGAGAGCGCGAGCGGGGGGGAGGGGGGGACTGGCCACGCGTACAAGATGTGGCCCATCTCGGGGTGGAGCAGGCCGTGCACGGGCTTGCCCTCCACGGCAATACCCACGCCCACGCCCGTGCCCACAGTAATATACGCACACGACCTGGACACGACACGACACGACCAACGACACGACACGACACGAATCAACGAACTGTCGAGTACAAGAAAGGTTGGGTGGAGGTGGGAGAGTGAGAGAGTACGGCTGGCCAAACTGGGCGAGGTGCGCTACGGCGGGCGCGTTGACGTCCGTTTCGAACGCCTGATCGCGTAGAGGCCATCGTGAGTCGTTCGGCACGCGAAGTGATGAAAAAGTAAGAAGACGGTGGTGATGATGATGATGGCTGCCGAGCGGGTGTGAATACCGTGGGGACATTGAATTCGGAGAAGCGGCTGAGTACGTCCACGTTGCCCCAGTCCGGCTTGGGCGTGGTGGTGATGTAGCCGTAACTGCACGCGTACACGATCAACAACACGACACACGACACACACGGAACACGCTCAATGAGCACGACACACGCAATGGGATGGCAGCGTGTGCGTGTTGGTACGTGGGGCTTGCGCGGTCGAGGTCGACGGGGCCGAAGGAGGCGATGCCCAGTGCGTGGAACGGCGTCTTCGCGTTTTGCTCGCGCAGCCAAGCCACCTGATTGTTTATTGTTATTAATTATTGTTATTATTATTATAACTCTAATTATGAGCAGGAGAGTGTGGTCGGCGTACGACGCGGCCGATGGTCTCGTCGGGGGTGGTTGTGGGGAAGTTGGCGCGCGCGAAGATGGACTCGGCGCTGCCTCGGGCCAGACCCACCGAGAACGACGTGCCCCTGGTGGTGTGCAAGCGATCGACACAGTGATTCGATTGAAGGGAATTGGGAAAGAAAGAAGAGATGTTATTATTGCTTTTCTTCCCAGTGCGAAAGAGAGGAACCCCAAAACGAACCCAGCCTCCACGCCTGCAAAGACAAGCTCGCTTGTTGGTGTTGCGTCCATCTCTCTTGTACTTGTAGCTACACTACTTGTTTTGTGTTTCTTTCACCATTTCTTTTTTGCCTAAAGTTTTCCTTGTGGGAGCTGGAAGAACAAGAAGACAAACTTGATGAAGCAAGCTTGATGAAGAAGTTGCACAAGAGTTGAATGGGGGGTATTGATGATTTTTTTGCTATACATAAAAGCACAACAATTAAGGTTTTTGTTTACGTTACGTTACGGGGAGTCCCTTGCGTCCTCCTTCCTCCTGTCCGCAGCAGCAGCGAGCGGAGAGAAATAAATAAACTAAAAGCACAAAGACACACACGCGCACTGGAGATGAGAAGATGAAGATGAAGATGATGAAGAGGTCGAGTTGAAGAGACGGCGCTGAAGATGAAGATGAAGAGGTCGGGAGAGGTCGGCGATGTCCTTCCAAACATATGAATGGAAGTCGGAGAGGGTGTGCGGTGGAGGTGTGTGTCGAACCCGGAGAGAGGAGGTGATGGCGAGCGGGCGGTGGAGGAGGTGAGACTTGCGAGGATCCATCTGCACCTCTTCCACCTCCCTCACTCTCGGTGATGATGGTGGTGGTGATGGGAACGGAGAAGCGAAGACGTAGAAGCAGAAGAAGGGACCGGAGAGAGAAGATGAGCGGTGACGAAGGCTGCGATGGGAGAGCGGAGCAAAAGAGAGCCGAGGCACAGTGGGGTGTTATCGATATGATAAGCTTGCGCAGATCCAATCTTCGCAGTCTCTCTCTCTAGTAGACCATGTGCTTGTTGCCTATTGATCAAAAAGAGAAAGAGGAGGGGTGATCGTTAGCATAAGCTTCGACTGGAGGTGAAGAGAGAAAACAAATATAAAACACGAATAGCATGGAAAAGAGAGAAGAGAGCTCACGTCTCGGGAATGACTGCGCTGCCGCACCGGGGTGGGAATGGCCTCCGGGCGAGCGCTGCCTTTGCTGCGGGTCGGGTCCGTCCTTCATGATCTTGTTCTGTATCCTCTTGCCGTAGGGCGTGTTCCTCAGGGCGAACAGGAAGGGCTTGATGCCCTCCACCAGCTTGGCGTGCTGCGGAGGCTCAGCTACCGTCATCGCCGTCTGGATCACGTAGTTGCCGAAGGGATCCTGTCGTTTGCGATAGTGGGATTGATGTGAGTTGAGGTGTGCGTCAAGCACGTGAAAGGAGGCAACAAGAGAGAAACCTGAATCAAGCTCTTGAGGTGCTCCGACTCGGTGAGTTCCTTGACCATCCAGGCCCTCGTGACCGGATCGCAAACATTCAAGCACTACCACGAAAGATGCACGTTAGCTGGAACACAGCATTCGGTGTGCAAAACGAAGCTTGGGCTGCAAAGTACCTTTTCTACAACGTTCGAGCTGAACTTCTGCGTCGAGAGCTCCGAGAGGTGGGTCTTGAACTGCAGAATCAGGTTCGCCAGCATGCGCGGGTAGGGCAGGTCCAGCACGTATTGTACAACATAGTTTCCGTAGGGGTCCTTCACGAGCGTAAGACCGTTCGCCGTAATCTCGTTCACGAGTTGCAGCTGCAAGAGAGGGGACGAACAATATGGCGATCAGACAATTGAGCACGAGCGCTAGGACACGCGATGATCGTCTTGCAGTAGTACCTTCTGGGCCTCCGAAGCGTGGTCGATGCAGCGCTGGAGCACACAGCAGCCGTGGCGGTGAGTGGCCACCTCAACGCAGTGACCGGCGACGGCGTCGTAGATGAACTGGTTGTCCTGAGCGCTCAGGTGGTTGAGGCAGCGCTGCACAACGTGGTTACCGTTGAGGTCCTTGATGAGCGGGACGACAGCGGCCTTGAGCCCACGGGTGACGAGGCGAATCTGAATTGAAGAAGACGTGTGAATACGCGAACGGGCAAGAGAGAAGGAGCCGGTGATTTGATGGGTTACCTCCGCGCCGCTCTTCAAACACTCGATCATCTTCTGAACGGCACGAGTGCCATGCATGTTCTGCGAGATGCGGATAAGGTCGTTCGCCACACTTTCGATCAGCAGCAGACGCTGCTTCTCTTGGCAGTGCTCCAGCAGCTTTTGGCACAGATAGTTGCCGAACGGATCTGTTGGTTCGAATGGTTAGTGGTCACCACACGACGATGGCACGCAGCATGCGGACTTACCGGTCATCAGCTCGGCAAAGTGCGGGTACACCTCGTTGAAGATGATGTCTACGGTCTGGGTGTTCATCTCGTCGAGCTTCTTCTGCAGGAAACGGCAGCCGTGCTGGTCCTTGCACATCGGATAGATCTGGCCGATCACTTGGTCGATGCTCGTGTAACGTCCAGCTGCGAGAACGAGCGATTCAGCATGAAGCCTTGCTTCAAGAGCGACAAAGGCGATTGCGCGTACCCAGGGTGTTGGTGCCGATGACGAAGGACTGCGCGTTCGCCGCGCCGCTCGCGCCAGCGCCGCTGGCAGCACCACTGCCGCCGGTTTGACCAGCAGTGACGCCGTTGGAAGACCTGCGCTTGTGAGTCTGCGACTGGCTGCCCTTCTTGCCGCCTTTGCCTCCCGAGCCCGGAGCTGGGACCGACACGGGCTGCGTAGCGGGAGGAGTAGCCGACCTCGCGGGTGTGCTGCTCGAGATGGCCGAGGGACCGCCAGAGGGAGCTGTGATCGACAGCACGCGTGTAAGCTCCTTGGTAAGAGCGATGGCCACACTCAGGACACTGTGGGTGCATACCGTCGGTGGATTCCGTGTCGACGTGGGCGAAGTTGCACCTGTCGCCCCTGCTGCAGTAGCCCTGAGCGTAGTAGCGGCACGGAATGGTGGAGGAGTCGGCAGGGGCAGCCACTTGGGCTCCTCGGCGAGGCTGAACACGATGCACGATAAGAGTATGGTCAGGAGTGCCCCACGTGTGAAACGCGAATGCAAGTGCACTCCGTGCCAAGTCGTGCGTACCTCTTTCCTCCTCTGCAGCGGTACGTCGCCAGAGATCTCCAAGTCATTCAAGTGACTGCTCGACCGCAGAGACGCTGAGACCGGGAGGGGGCTGGAGGCCACCGCTCGATACGGGCGACTTGGGCGGGGGCGAAGGCTCGTCAAGGGGGCTGGAGCGTCCGTTTTCTGGCAAGGAGAAGTGGTGAGCCGCTAGCTCGCTCACAGTGCTGATGGCCAGTTCTCAGAAATTGAGAAATGCGTACCGAGATTTTCTGCTTCCCAGAGGCGAGAGGCGGCGAATCGCTCGGCAAGCTTCTCCGCCATCGACTGGCCATTCATGAGCGCCATGTTGTGCACCAGCGACGAGATGTCGTCAACGGAAGACGAGATGCTCTCGGAATCGCTGCTCAGATCTGGGATGAGGGAAGTCTCGTCCAGAGAGTAGTCCTCGAGCGACGAAATGCTTGCCACTCTGTGCGGCATGGGCCTGGACCACCTCGGGCTTCCATCTCGCTCGTCGTGATGGTAGGGCAGGAAGTTCCTAGCCATGGGGGGGCTCATTCCTGGTGAATATTGCTGTGCGAATGGACAAAATTGAGTGTAAGCGGCGGCGTTTGTCCTGAATGGGAGGGCAGTGAGCCTCTGGAGTACGTACGAACTCATCCTCAATCGAATCGAAGACCTGCCTCTCGATAGGGGGCGGAAGTTTGCTGGGGTCGGGATGCGAGTTGTAGAAGTGGATGTAATCGTCATCGGCACGAATGTCTGCCGCGCCAGCAAACAGGCGGGCATAGTTGTTGCCCATGGCGAACAGGGACTGCTCCTGCACCTCCAGGATGGGCGGGGCGGAGGAAGTCCTCTGCGGCATGTCCTCCCTCGATGTGTAAAGATCGGAATCGGTTTCGCTATCGCTCATCTTGCTGTTCGAATGGATATGCTATATCTTTCTATCTAGCGTGAGCATATAACGATTGATGCTGTGGGTTTATGTTGAATGTCGAGGTCGAATTGACCGCGTTTCTGCTGATGCCGGAGGGAGGGAGAAGCAGAAGATGAGGTGGGATGAAGCGCGATGGGGCTTTCACGCGCGCTCTCCCGCTTTTTCTGCTGCGTTCGACTTTCCTCCTCCTGATGAACCTTCAACGCTGTGCTGCTGTACGGTGGAGAAGAAGATGGCACGATCCCTCCTCAGATCTCGTAGCGAGGAAGCACAACTTTCCTGCTTTGCGCCTTTTTCTGCGTCGCGGCCTGTACGACCCACCCCCTCATTTTAAGGTGGCGCACGTCACCAATTCCACCACCACCGACGAATTTTCTCGAGCTTCGTCTGCGCTTGAGCGGAGAGTGGGGCCGTGCGCGGTGTGGCCGGTGGTGGAAAACTCGACGGTGGCGTGAGCGGCCGCACAAGAAGACGAAGAAACCAAGAGTTGATGGTGCACTGGAAGAGTTCTCTCTGGCTAGCGTAGAAGCGCTTTTGCTTCATGCCCGCATGACGGGCTGTTCATTGGACTTTCCAGAGATATCTCGCTCAGAGTGAAGGTGTACGTGTGTAGGCCTACATACGTACTTCTTCTAGACACCTTGCGCCCTGAGGTTGCCGAGGCCCTTGACGACCATGTCCTTGGCGCTGTTGATGGTCTTCATGGGCACGCCCATGATGGCGTCCTCGCCCCTGCCGTCGGGGCCCTGGGTCCGCATGCACACTCGGTCGGCGATCACCTGCGGCTCGGTCTCCATCACGACTCTACATTGTTTGATTGTCGATGACCGACCTCGGATGAGCAAAACACAACGCGATTGATCTTGAGGGCATCGCTTGACTCGTACCCATCGTCGACCAGCTCGTCCATGGCGAGCAGGAGGAAGTCGAAGTTTTCCGAGAGGGTCCTCTTGTCCACTTGGTTCCTGTAGTTGGGTGGTTTGGAGCTCAGACGACGCATTGTGTGTACAAGCCTTACAGAGCGTCGGGTTGGGGAGGGCGTACTTGAGTATGAGGGAAATGGTTTCGATGTAGGTCGTGAGCACAGACCACAATACGAGCTCGTTCTCCTCGAGACTTCCGATCACGAAGAAGTGGACATCGGCCACGGTTCGGAACACCTGTGGCCACACAACCAACGCCGTAGCGCGGTTAGCCAGCATTCAGAGGGCGCACAGGCCTTGCAGGGGGCGGTACCCCGATGATGTTGTCCAGCAAGATGATCTCCGCTGCGTGGGTGAAGAAGAACATGTAAGTGGTGAGGCCAGCAAGGGGAAGGTGCGATGGCGCGTGCTGTGGTGAGGAAGGGTACCGGCAGGATGAGCCTGGGCCTTGGTGAAGAGCGACTTCTCGAAACTGAGCTGCTTCTCCAGCCCCGGCCACTCGGTGGTGAAGTACCGAGCAGCAAGTCGCTTGCCGTCGCTGTCCAGCAGTATAAATGCCTTGGTCGTATACAAAGTGCCCTACGCCAACCACATGAACACACGTAAACTACAGCATTAGGGGCAAAGATGGAAAGATGAATCGGTTTAAGATGACAGAGTTGAGGCGCGAAAGATGGGTGGCAGAAGGAGAGGGATAATGAAGGGGTTTATGGCCAGTAGGGAACATGTAAGAGCTGGCGTACCATGTTGTGGAGTAGTGTGTTTATCGCAGTTGTGGCAATCTCTACACGGAGGCTGACCCTTGGCGGCTCTCGACTTTCCTTTTCCAGACAGGCATGTGATGCATGCACCGCATTTTCTTTTTCATTTTTAATTATAACAGAATTATCAGCCACGTTGAATTCATCTACATCACACTTGCTGATTCTGGAGGTACCTTGTTCTTCGGATTTGGATTACATTCAGCTCAGGGCTGCATTATTTACATGTATTGATGTATTCCCCCCCCGATCAAAGGAGATGGAGGAAGAGCGGCTGCGTGAGGAGGTGGCACGGCTGGAGCGAGAGGTGGCCAGCCTTCGTCGCAAGCGTGATGCCGACCGCGCTGGTCGTACCCGCGCCGAACGCGTACGCTCTCCTCGCCACCAAGCGCATCTGCAATTGCCACTGGCTCCGCCCCACCTGTCTTAAACGCACGACACACACGCGGCATGACCGCACACGCACGACACGCGCGGGAAATATCAGGAATTGAGGCGTGTGCTCACAGAGAGGGCCGCAACGGGATCGTCGTCAGCCCAGGGCGATGAGGCCGGACAGCTGGCCACCCTCTCGGCGCCCATCAAACCGATCGGCGTCGTGCGCTCGCCCTTCCCCTCGCGCATGGGCACGCCCAGGTATACCCCCACCTGCCCCCTCGCCGCCCGCCGATGGTGGTTGGTGTGCGCATAGCTCACATTTCGCGTGGCAGACAGGGCATGCTGGCGCCGGCCACGCGCGGCTGGATCCAGCTGGAGGGCAGGCTGAACCCGGCCGAAGCGCTCGACGGGATTCAGCAATTCTCGCACGTGTGGATCGTCTTCGTCTTCCATCAAAACACCAACGCCTCCAAGTATAACACAACGGACACGACACGACACGACACGACACGACACGACACGACACGACACGACACGACACGACACGACACGACACGACACGACACGACACGACACGACACGACACGACCAACGACACGACACGACACGACACGACCAACGACACGACACGACACGACACGACCAACGACACGAATAACCGGCCCAACGCGGCTTGCTCGCTCGGCCAGAGCCATGCTGGGCGACAAAGGGCTCAAGGCCAAAGTGCGACCGCCTCGGCTGGGTGGAGCGCGCGTGGGCCTCTTCTCCACCCGGACGCCCCACCGACCCAACCCCATCGGTACCCCCCCTCCACACACTTCTTCCATCATTGCCGTCATCATCATCATCATCATCGTCCTAATCATCGCCCTCTTCATTCTCTTCGTCATGGCGCTTCTCGTCGTCTTCGTTCTTCTTCTTTCTTTCTTTCTTTCACGCAGGACTGACCATCGCCAAGATCGAGCGGCTGGAGCGAGGAGTGCTCCATATCTCCGGCGTGGACCTGGTCGACGGCACGCCCGTGCTGGACATCAAGCCCTACCTGCCCCGCTACGATTCTCTCCCGCACGCCGCCGGTGTGGCCCGCGCCCAGCCCCACCAACGATCCACGCGCGCCCACCAATCGTTCGTTAACTAACCATGTGTGGGCTTGCGCAGTGCCGGACTGGATCGACGACGAGGGCGCCACGGTGCGCGAAGACGCCGGTAAGGAACTGCACACGGGATCCATCCGCTCCGTGCACTGGGTCCGTTCTTNAACCCCCCCCCTGATGTGCGCTCTGCTAACGTTTTTGCTTTCGCGTTCGCTTTATCTTCTTCGTTCGTTCTTCGTTCTTTGTGCGGCGGTGGGGGCAGACGCGGGAGAGCGAAGAGGCGGTAAACCGGCTGCTGGCCGACGGTGCGCTGCGATTCTACGCCGCGGGCGAGGACGATCAGCTGCGGCAGGCCATCGACGAGGTGCTCCGCCTCGACCCGCGCTCCGCCTTCCAGCGCTCCCTCTCCGCGGCGCGCGGCGCGACAGACGGACACGCCGACACGCCGGCAGCCATGGCAACGTTTAAGGTGGCGTTCGACAGCGTGGAGGTGGAGTTCGCCTACCCGAGCCACGACGTCATCCGCGTTCTCGCGCTTCGCCTGCGGCCGCCACCGGCGTCAACAGAAAACGAAGAAAGAGAGATTGAAAACGAAGAAGACGGAAACGAAGGCGGCGAAGAAAGGCAAGAAGAAGACGAGCGCACGCAAACCACAGCTGTTTCTTAAGTTACAAGAGAGAAAGAGAGAAAGAGAGGTAGAGAGAAAAAGAACGAAGCGTTTCTCTTTCTACCCCCCATCAGGAGAGGTTGACGATGAGGTCGTGCACGAAGTCCTGCTCGTATCGGGTGTTCTCCATCAGGTCCTGCGGGTTGTCCGACGGACAACGCAGGAAGGTGGGCGCGAAGATCATCGCCAGGTTGTTCACGTTCATCTTCGTCCGCGCCTGGTTCTCTATTTTTTGTTTTTCCGGCGTGTGCGGTGGTGCGTGAGTGCATGTGTGTGCGGTGTGTGCGGTGCGTGCGATCTAAGACAAAGGCTGTGCCGGACGGTACCGGGTTGGGCGAGGACTTGAATGAAGCGGATGACGTAGCGAATCACGCTCTGGTTGTTCTTGGGGCACTTGTCCACCACCTCCTTGACCCGTTTTGGGTCGTGGCCGCTCTTCAGCGCCTTATCACTGTGATCAAGTGCCACGCGACCCCACGTCAGCTATTCTTCACGCCGCGCGTGTGCGGTGGTGCGTGTGTGCGTGTGCGTGCGGTGGTGCGTGTCGTGTCGTACTAGAGCGCATCGGGGATGAGAGGATGGGCCAGCTCGCGCATCCACAGCTTGAGCAGCGCCGCCGGCACATTCGCGTCCTGCACCACCACCACCCATTAGCGTGTGCGTCATGTCGTGTGTGGTGTGTGGTGTGTGTGGTGTGTGTGTGTGTGTGTCTTTGTGCAAGATGCGCACCCGGAAGTTGGAGATGTCAAAGTTGCCGCACTCGATGTCGGCCTTGCTGGTGTAGATGCCCTCGGAGTCGCCCGGGATGCGGAAGAGGCCCTCAATATTGCACCCGTTGAGCCGCATCACCGAATCGCAGAGGAACTCGACGATGCGGGGCACCTGGGCCGACGGGTTGAGCGAGCGCTCGTGGGTCATGATCTCCTCCAGGTCCGCCCCGAACGGCGAGAAGTGGAACGGCGCCGCGATGATCTTCTCGATCTCGCGCAACGACGGCACACGGCCGCGCGACGGCCCCTGCTTCTGGCACATCAGGTTCAACTTCTTCAGACAGAACCTGTGCGTGTCGTGTCGTTGGTCGTGTCGTTGGTCGTGTCGTGTGGTGGAATGTGTGTGGCGTGGAATGTGAGTTATGGAATGGCATTTTAAGGTGGCGGAGAGGGGCGGGACCTGGCGTAGATGGCCTCCTTGCCCGCGTCGGAGCCCTTGCGGACGTGCTCCTCCAAATATCTGTGGAATAATGAATGGAGGAGACGTGAGTGCCGGCAATCGCGGTGGGCGTGTGTCGTGTGTCGTGTGTGTCGTTTGTGTCGTGTGTGTCTTGTCGTGTGTGTCGTGTATCGCGTGTGGTGCGTGAGGGCGTACTTGCGGAACCAGGCTTCGAGGTCCTGGGTGGGCGGGAATGTCAGGCAGCTCACCACCATCAGCTCCCAGCCTCTGTACAAATACTCACTATACACGTTTCCGAATAGAAGTGGTTGATCAGCCACACGACACACACGACACACACGACACGACACGCATGACACGCATGACACGCACGCATGACATAGAAAGGAGGAAAGAGGTACTCGTTTGGTGTGTAGCAGGTCTGCTTGCACAGCTGGCAGAACAACTGTTCAATGGGAAAAGAGAAGAAGAAAGAAAAAAATAGAAGAAAGAAAGAATGAGTCGAAACTGACGACGAGTCGTGGCCGTGTTGTGTGTGTGTGTGTGTGTTGCAAAACAACGAACCTCGTCTCGGATCTGGCCCTCGGTAATGCCGTCGGCGGCGATCTGGCGCGCGATGGCCAGCGGTGACTCGTTGGTCTCTCGCTTGATCACGCCCTGGTATGCCAGGATCACTGACCACCACAAAAAACACAGTTGTCGGGTTTTTTTAACTCCGAGCCCAGAATTGGTGCAAAGTCGGGGAAGCGAGTAGGGTACGTACGTTTGAATAGGTCGAGCGCCTTCTTCTGGAGCTCGGGCTTGTGGAAGTTGAGCAGCGACACCTCCAGCGGTTGCTGAAAGAATGCAAACAATGGCACACGCACGCACGCACGCACGCACACACACAGTCGCGCGTGAGCGTTTTTGTACACAATTTGACTCCTGGGCTTTTGGAGGAGGGTCATTGGGGGTGCCCACCTTCTGGAACATGAGCATCTCCTTGACGGGCGTCTTCTTGCGCGTGAACACGCCCTTCTTCTTCTGCGCGTTGAAGAACTTCCTTGCATAACCCTCCAGCTGGAATTTGTTGATGTCAACTGTGTGCGGTGGTGCGTGTGGCGTGTGCGTCAGAATGATCATCACAACACAAAGCCGTGTGTGTGGTGTGTGTGTGTGTGTGTGTGTGTGTGTGTGTGTGTGTGTGTGTGTGTGTGTGTGTGTGTGTGTGTGTGAAGTGGGCCGGACCGATGATAGACTTGGGCATGGTGGGCATGATGTCTGAGCCGTCGCTCTCCAGGTCGTCGGCTCGTGAGATGATGTGGCTGCCGCTGTTGCTCAGCACACCCTGCGCAATGTCCCTCTCGCTCATCGACGCGCTCCGGCCGCCGCCGCCGATCGAGTGCGTCTTCTTGTGCTTGCTGCCCTCCTTGCCCTCCTTCCCGAAGATCGCCGTCTTGCGGAACGCCAGCTTCTTCTTGCGCTCGCTCCCGCCCTTCTTCTTCCCCTCCTTCTCCTCCTTTCCGCCCGAACCGCCCGACGCCAGCCCAGTCGCCGCCGCAGCCGCCTCGGCCGCCGAGCCCCCGCCGCCGGGCGACGACGATGGCAAGCCGCGCGGCGAGACGATGGTGGCGAGCGAGCCGGCGGGCGGGTGGTGGTGGTGGTGCGGAGAGAAGGCCAAGGCCTGCTGGGGCAGGATGAAGGAGGACGAGCGCGGCCGGGGGTGTAGGCCGCGGGCGCGGTGGGCATGGTGATGACCGATCCGCCACGCAGCGGCGAGCCACCGCTGCCGGCGCAGGAGGCCGGCGACGGCGGGAACATGGGCTGCATGGTCAGCCGGCGGCCGTTTCCTGTGAAAAGAAGTCACGAGGAATGTATGAGGAATGCGGTGGAGAGACTGGAATGTGTGAGGAATGTGGTCCGTACGGGGTGAAGTGTTGATGTCGTCCTGGGTGTGCAGCACGGGGAGGGGCGGCGGGATGTTGTTGCTCTGCGCGAAGCCGCCGCCCTTGCCCAGGGCCACGGTGTGGCGGTTGCCCGAAGATGGCGCCCCATTGCGCACCATGACGCCTGCATTGATAACGATCATTGTGAACCCAATCAGACAACATATTGTGGCGACAGGGACAAAACATAAGCGTCGCGTACTCTTTGGTCGTGGCGGAACGCTGACCGGCGAAGCGGGTTCGTCGACGGTGATCGTCACTTGACGGAGGTGGGAATGCGGTGAGCCAAGTACACGACGACACCACGCGACGCGACACGACACGCACGACACACATGATGGGAGCCTGAGGCTGTACCCCGGGGTCGAGGAGGCACGACGACGGATTCGTCGCTGCCCAGGCTCGGGGGAGGAGGCGCGGCTGCTGTCGATGATGGGAAGGGGGTCGTCAGCAAAAGACACATTAAGGCGGTGCGAGCCTGACTTGAGTGAGAGAGCGCGCGAACCCTGTTGGCTGCCGGAGCCGGGCTTGACCCACGAGCTCTGGCCGGTGGCGCTGTTGACGTAGTAGGTTAGCCCGCTCTTGAGGTCCACCACTTCGTTCCATTGGCCGCCGTTGGCCGCCGCGCCTCCTCCGCTCTCGGGCACGATCACCAGCGGCGTAACACCTGCGCACACATCAAATACATAAATAAACAAATAACAAATAAGGGTTTTTCGAAAGCAATATAGAAATAAAATAATGTGAGCAATATAAAAGGGAAGTGAATGGTACCGGGTGGGGCCTCCCAGACGGTCTGTTTGGTAGAGGGATTGTAGAAATAGGGCCGGCCGCGGCTGGCATCGAATAGTTCCCACCACTCGTTCTTGGGTGTCGCTTGCCTGTTGGGTTGGTGTGGCGCGAGCAAACGTGCGCCACGTTTTTTTTTGTTATTTAACAAAAAAAACAAAACAACACAAAAAGCAGAGCGTACTGTTGAAGCTCGGGTGGCGTGGTCCAGGTGGTCTCGCCGGTGTGCGAGTTGTAGTAGTAAGCCTGGCCCGACGCCTCGTCCTTGAGCTCCTGCCAGCCCGCCCCTCGACTAAAAAAAAAGGGAGAAGCGTCTCCCCAATTAATTAGAATATACCAAAAAAGTAATAAGTACAGAATTAATTTCTTGTATTTAATAATTTGACACCCTCCATATGTTAAAGCATTAATATGTGTGGGGGGGGGAGAACGAAAAGACACACACAATGCTATGTGCACGCGCGACTTGAAAGAACGAAATTGGGGGGGGGGGAAGGAACGAAGCCACACGCTCGATCGGAAGATGAGGCCGGAGGTAAAAGAGATGAGGAGGCATGAAGCCCGCGTACCTTGTGGGGCTGCTCATTGCTTGACTTGTTGCAACCTAAAAAATCTGTTCGCCCAATCAAAGAATCTTTCCTGGCTGCACGAGGCTGGGGCACACGGAGCCAAAAAGACGTAACGCACAAGACAGGTGGCGTTGGATACCAATGAGCCGTTCGTGCCGCCATGGCGGGAATTTGAGTTATCCTGTTGGTTGCCTGACGCCCACCATCACGTGCCAGCTGTCACGTGGGCAGTTCACTCTTTGAGCTCAGGCCATGCACACCACAGGCTGTGTGACAGTGATTGTGATGGTACTCTGTTTGTTCTTGGTGGAGCTGATCACAGCTGGGCTTCCACAGAGGACGCTGCATTGAATGTTACCACAATGAACTCTGTCTTGACAGGTGGAAAAGGAGTTTGCAGTTTCTGCTTTGGCTAATTTATTTCCTTTTTATTTCGAAAACGCAACAGAGCAAGAAGAAGAGGTAGATGTTGGCGATCTTCAACGTCAGGCGCACGGTGTTGGACGTCTAAACAGCTGCACATCTTCAGCAATTGCCGCATTTCCGATCGTCGGGAATCGCACATCGAAATGCAGGGATTGCAAAATTTTCAATTTGGGAGGAAGGCGGCATTGATGAACTCATCTCCTTCGACGCTCTACAACACTTCGACGAACACGAGCACACAACCATCTTCATCTAATGGAGAAGGAAAGGCAGCGCTACACAATTCCTCCTCGAATGTCCTCACAACGACGAAGAAGGCCAGCAGCACGGGCAAGAAAGGAGCAGACGAGGATTTTTCCTCTTCATCTGGCGAGTGGAACACCACCGCAGGCGGGCGTCGGTTGGGGCTGGGCCATCTCATCGTCGAATCGGTTCAGGGCGAATGGGTACTTGTTCAATCTTGATTTTGCTCAATTTATTTAAATTATTCTTTTTAATCTGAATAAACATTATTCTTTTGGTGCAGTTCATCGTCTCTACGCTCTCTATGCGGAAGGACACTACGATCTTGGCCGTGCATCCAGAGACAGGTACGCACAGCTCGGTCAGGTGATGCCTGGCCGGTGGTTCGCTTTCTCACCACTTTCTCACCTCCTCGCTCGCTGCTCTGTTCTCTGTGCACAGGCGCCCTCCAGTTTGCTGCAGTGAAGGGCAAGGACATCTTTCTCAACGAGAGCGAGGCAGTGGCCTACCTGAAGGCCAACTACCAGCTGAAGAACGCCACGTACGTGCTGTTCACTCCCTCCTCGATTATCGCGGGATAGTCCCACTTGAGTGATCTCTCTTGAGCCCATGATCCCGATCCTCTTCATCATACCACCGTGTTCTATATTTATATTTATGTTCTAATTTATTCTCTATTTATATTTATGTTTAGTCTTTGAAAGGAGATGTTCCTCACCTGATCTGATCCACGCACGCACTGTGTTCAAATAGGCGAGCCGAAGCGCTTCTGGGTTATGTGTGCCTGCAGTCTGTCGGTGCTGCCTGGCTGGTAGTGGCCACAAAGGTTGAGCGCGCGCGCGCGCGCGCTCTCTCTCTCTCTCTCTTTCTTTACACTGCCGGCCTAGTCGTGCCCGTGTGCTCACATCGAGAATTGTCAATCTATGCACCGCCCAGGTGCGAAGGGACATGACGCTGCCCGGAGGCCATGGCGTGTTCACAATCATGGAAGCCAAATGGATGAAGATGGATCTCAACTACCTGGGCTCACCCAACAAGTACGGCGTCAATTGCTTCTTTGTCATGAGCCAAGATGACAACAGCGCGCGTGTTTATTGATGTCGCTCGTTCGCTCGCTCACTCGCGAGCTGTTCTTCTTCTTCCCCGTTATAACAGGGTTGAAGCCAGGAACATGGAGGTCATGCAGGACTTCCCACTCGAGGGCCTCCACTTCTATTGCGACACTTTCGACATCACCAGACCCTATCCCTCGCCCTATCCCGTCGACCAGTACGCTGCGCAACCGCCTCTCCCGACTTCTCTCTTTGTCCCCGGCATTGTGTGTGTGTGTGTGTGTGTGTTGTGTTCTCAGTATTTTTGACTATTGCTTCATTCCAGGTATTGCGAAGAATATGTGTGGAATGAGTGGCTAGCATCTCCATTTCAACGGTTCTTCTCTCCGCCTTTCAGTTCTTCAGCCAACGTTTATCGCCTTTTCTTCTAATTACTGGACCGCAGGGAGGGACTTCGCATGTGGTGTGTGGTCATGCTCCAGGGCGTGGCGTTGACCAAGACGATCCCTGTGGCATCTCACAAACCAGCCTGTATGTACCTTCAGAACACAACACTGCTTTCGCGCCGCGGCTGCTTCGTTTGTTGCATGCTGACACCTACCCTTGCTCTCTGTGCGCAGTGCACCTTGGAGTGCTCACGCGAAAGAGTACCATCAACGCCGGCACTCGGTACTACGCCCGTGGGCTCAACAAAGCCGGCGGGCCCGGTAACGAATCGGAATGCGAGTTGCTGATGTGGACCACCACAGCCCACTCGGACCTGGTATGTACTCTGTTCCCCCTCGGCTACTGCACCGTTGTCCCCGACCAGTAGTTGATCACCAATCGTCAACATTGTGTCTCCCTAGATCAACTGGCGCGCGTTTTTGTGGCGGCGAGGCACAGTGCCCATCTGGTGGCGATCAGAGATGAAATCCGTACGTGTCCATTCATTTGCTGACCACTTGCATGATAGTATAGTATAGCATAGTATAGTATAGTATGGTATGGTATAGTATAGTATAGTATAGCATAGCATAGCATGTAGTAAAAACGTAATAGTTAAAGCGTACTGTTTCTGTAGGTTGGCGAATCGCGCGTGGTGGTTGAGGCGGAGCACCCGTTCAAGGGCTCGGACAAATACTACGCTCGCCTCCTGCGAAGGTACGCCACTTCTTCCTTGTGTTCCTCATGCGACTCCACAACCTTGCTTGCCCTGTTGCCCTGGTGCGTCATGCTAAACGCGACTTCGTTTTCAGGTATGGGCCGCACCCCTTCACCATATGCAACATGTTGCGAATCGGTGCCATGCACGAAGAATCCACGCTTACCGAGGTGAGTGAGTCAGCCCTCGTCCAGGTCTGTGTGCGCACCTGATGAACTGATGACCGCCGTTCGTTCCTTATATGGAACTCCAGTTTTTCGAACGATCGCTGGACGAGGTGAAGAAGATCATGCCCCTCGATGTCAAGATGATCAAGTTCGACTGGCATCACAACCTGAAGCAAATGGGCTCACAAAAGGCCATCGAAACTCTATGGACCCTGCTGCGCTCCTCTGTACAGAACGTGGGGCTGAGCTGTGGCCAGATCAGGTAATCGCTGACCTCGAGGCCTTGGTGCCCAAGCACAGTGTAATTCCTGACATTCTTGCGGTTCTTTGCATTGTCATTGTAGTCTGGTGGACGTGCGCGACGGCGAGAATGCGGATGACGACGACGGCGGATCCGAGGAGGGAGAGCTCCACGGGTCGCGAGAGTACGTCTCAGCCGCGGCTGCCGACAGCCACGGCGGCAGCGGTCGGATGTACTTTCGCTGGATGAAGCGGCAGAAGGGATTCATTCGCTTCAACTGCGCCGACAGCCTCGACCGCACCAACGTCGCCACATTTTGTACATTCCATTCCCCACCCATGCGCACACATGTGCTTGTTGGTTGCTCTGGGTTGGGCGACGTGACACTGACCGATCACGTGTGTGCTGTGTGTGTTGTGTGTGTTGTGTGTGTTGTGTGTGTTGTGTGTGTTGTGTGTTGTGTAGTCCATTCGTGGCAAGTTGTTGCCGAGATGTGCCGTCAGCTCGGTGTTTTTGACGACAAAGGAGGTACGATCGTTCACGCTCAAGTGATTATTTCTCTCTGAAAATTAATTGCAATCAATTTTGTTCTACCAGGTCCAACGGAGGAGTGGGGCCACTACGACCTCGAATTGCCGCAGCTGGTGGCTCGCCTTCCCTCTGCGCTCCTCGGCTCCCTCACCGAATTCTTTGGTACGCGCTCAATTTGGGCCTCAAAATTGCCCTCTCTTGATTGGAGGTTGTGTATGTTGGCTTACAGCGTTGTTTGGGTGTTGTGATGTTAAACGTGTAGTGTACATGGGCGATGTGATCTCGGTGCTCTACACCAACTCGCCGGCAATGCACAGCTCGTTGATGAGGGAATATTCACCCAACGTGGCTGCCCCGCGATCCAACGCCATCATCGTACGCTGCCTCCGTCAGTGCGCTTTTCCTTACGGTCCGCCTGCACACGATTACTAAACCACCTGATTATGGTTACCACACATGCAGGCCATTCAACGACGGTACCAAAATGTGGTCAAGGACTCAACTCGCCAGCTGCAGTACAACATGATCCTCGGCCGAAAACTGTGCGTTCCATCGCCCTCGATGCACTTTTTTCTCGATCTTGTTTCTGGTTCTCACCTGTTTGGCTCCTCGCAGTGCGCACTGTTTCCCTTCGCTCGAGCCGAGCCCGTCGCGATTCGAGTGCGTGAGCAGCTACCCGGCCTTCTCGCTCAAGACCGTGCCCTGTCTGTTCTCCGACCTCGAACCCGAGAAGTGGCTCCTGGTACGCTGCTATGTCATTGCATCAGCCAGCCAGCCAACCGACCTACGGACTCTGCTGAATTCGCTTTTTCCCCCTCTCATTCTACACAGGCGGACAAGCTCACGAACGAGCCCTTTTCGTGGATTGCGCCCAGCGGTTGTGATGTTCTCGAGGTAACTCGCACCCGTCCCCGTTTTCGTTCATACCAATTATTAATCCGTGTGTGTGTGTGTGTGTGTCTGTCTGTGCGTGCGTGCGTGCGTGTGTCTGTGTGTGCGTGTGTGCGTGGTGTGTGTTGTTCAAAACAGTTGTACATAGTGCTTCGACGGAGCTGCGACCTCAAAGAGTTCGCGCTGACCGTGACTGGCGGCGCCGGTGATGCGGCGTACCCCGTTTACGTTGACCTGTTCATCGGACCCTACCTCAACCGTCTGAGGTACCTCACCTCTCAACATGGCTCCAGGCCTTCCTCCGACTCGCTCACTCACTCACTCACACCACGCTCACACACGCGGCCTTGCCACAGTATCGTGATGCAGGACCTCCCGCTCCCTCGGGTGACGGCCGGCACCAAGCTCTACTACGAAGTCCCCGCGCACACGTGGACCGCCTACGAGGGGCCGTCCATCTACGATTTTGGCGGTAAGCACTAACATACAATTTTCAATGATATATACACAATAATATTAATATAATATCCGATTTTACAATAATTCGTTCTTATGGGCAGATGCAGGAGGCAAGCGACCGAAGACGAGGATCGTGCAGTTCCGCTTCCGCGGGCTTTCGTCGAGTCACTACATGACCATCGGCAAGATCGAGCTCTACGGCCAGGTGCCTCAGCCCTTGGGATCGCCCGAGCAGGCCTACGTACACACCCTTTACCCCGGCCCTCTTATCAAAGTCTATTGAACTTGGCCAACAAGCAATGCTCACTGTGTGCGTGTGTGCGTGTGCGGTGGTGCGTGTGCGTGTGTGTGTGCGTGTGTGTGTGTGTGTGTGCGTGTGTGCTGTGTGACATAACGAACTATGAATAGGATAACGTGATCCAAAAGGAAACGCACAGCAAGGTGAAAAGCATCCTCGAAGCGCTCGATATCGGGGAAGATGAGAAGCGGCGAGGCGACGCCGAGTGGAGCAGCTCGGAGGAAGAGGACGAAGGCGAAGAGAGCGACGGTCTGTCGCGCACGCCACTGGGTGGCCTCGACTTCAAAATGGAATCAACGCAGGAGAAGCGGAGCACCGACATGGTACCCATACCCTGCGCACACCTGCCTGTCATCGCAGGTACACGCTCACCGCTTTCCGTGTGTCGTGTGGCGTGTGTCGTCGTGTGCAGGTTTTGGACATGTTCGGGGTGACTCCAGCGTTTCAAGGCGAAGAGGAGGACCTGCCGCGGTCCCGCTCGTCCTCACTCACACTCGCCTCCATGTCGGAGGTATCGCCCAGGTACTCTCTTCCCATTCATCATTGGATTCTTCCCGTTCCGGTCTCTCTAGCGAGTCATCAGCGATTGAGGGGCAGCCAACCCGCCGACCGCGGACTGACTCCTTCCCTTCAATTTGGCGCGTCGCAGGAACCCCTTCAAGAACCCGAGGGAGTTCACCATCCTGGGCGATCGGGCCATCGTGAGAGAGATCGAAGAGAAGGGAGTCGAAGGTGACGCGGTTTTCTTTTCTTTGTCGTCGCAATCAGCTTCTTTATTCTTTATTCTTTATTCTTTATTCTTTATTCTTTATTCTTTATGATCATTTCCTCTTCTGACGTGCGACCTTTCTGTGCCATATTTATGTATCCAGAGGTGTATGCTGAAACGGTGCGAAGTCTATTGTGCACCAAGGGCGAAAAGGCGCTAGACTTCACCGATACGCTGGAGCTCGAGTACCTGCGGTAAGCCAACGCGACACATACGACACGACACGACACTCATGACACACACGACGCCCACATTTGGAACGTGTTTGTTGACTAAGAAATCTAACTCCTTGCGTGCGTACAAGACTTTCGCTGGGATTGACCGCGGCGCAGAGGGACCAGATCCTGCTCAAGCTGCACCAGAGCATCTTCTCCTACAACCCCTGCCGATTCGTCTTCCTCCACGACGAGAAGGCCCAAGATATCCTTTCCACCCTCCCTCGTGCGTGTCGTGCGCGTGCAGTGCTGTCGTGTGTCGTCGGTCGTGTCGTCGCGTCGTGTCGTGTCGTGTCGTGTCATGCGTGTGCGGTATACTTGGTGGTCGATGGTTCCTTGACTCCTGTGCACCTTCGATGCGTCGGGCCGCGAAGCACAAGTCGCCCAGCGTGTGCCACAACTGCAAGTCATCGCTGGGCTTCTTCTCCATCGGCGTGGCCCAGTGCTACTACTGCCACCACCGCTTCTGCTCCAGCTGCGTCGGCACGCCGACCAAGATCATCGAGTTCATGTGGGACAAGCCCCAGCCCGTCTGCAAGCGCTGCCAGGCCAAGCTCCTGCGCCAGGCCGAGCTCCTCACCAACGTGCAATACGAAATCGGTAATCGACGCGTTCTGTTTTTTTCTTTCTTCGGTGCCGCATCTAGTATGATTCTCACATTTCTGGCGTTCCTTGTGGTAACACACAACAGGCAAGCAGAAGAACATCATGCCTAAGGAGGAGGAAGCGCGAGAGGAGGTAACACACCCACACCCACACACACACACACGACACACGTTTTTTCTCACATTGGTCTTTCGCCTCGTTCGCTCAGCTCATCCGTACGTTGCATGAGGCGCGACCAGTGCCCAGCCTGGCCAGTTCCAGCTCCGACCTGCCCGCTGTACGTGTCGTTCGTTTGTTGAGCCCTTCCCCTGTTTGTTCGGCCAAGGTGGTTCCATGGCAGCCAACTGACTGACTTTGATTCACCAGGCGTTCTCCGACCTGCAAGCACGGCTCGCCTTCGCGTCGATGCCCACGGCCGTCTCGCTGGCCGACTACCCCTCCGCCTGCGTCCTTCTTGATGTGGTACTTTACCAATTCTACTATTATTCTTTTTATTTCTATTTCTGATTATTATTAATATTTCCTTTTTTCCTCGATTAATTTTATTTTAATCGAACAGCCTACACGAGCCTTATCCGCTCCGATCGAAAGTGTTTTGGTTCCCGAGCACCTGCAAGTATCGTCCATCATCAGGGAGCAGGTGAATCATGACGTCCACCCATCATACCATGTCATACCATCTGAACGTTGTGGTTCACTCTCGGCAACGCGCTCTCTTTCCTTCGTTCCTTGTGTGGCGATCGACAGAGTTTTGCATCGTACTGGAGCGCGCCGGCGCAACAGGGTTGCGTGGAGATTCGCATCGCGCTCGCGGGACCGTCCGTGGTGCGTTCCTTCTCCATCGTTGTCGACGAGCTCGGCTACAGCGAGAGCGACGCGCCGATCGTGTCGCTGCTGGCCGGGCACACCATCTCCGACTGGCGCAACGTCGGCTCGTGGAACCTCGCCAACTTCACCCACCTCCTGCCCAACGTACGCCGTTTCCCTTTTGGACCACTTCCCCATCATGTGTCTACCTTGCGTTCAACATTTCCGACATTCTCGTGTGTGTGTTGCGTGTTGTGTGTTGTGTGTGTGTGTGTGTGTGTGTGTTCTTTCAGAGCAAGCGTGGCATACCGGCCGGGGAGTACCTTACCTTCGAACTCGAGCAACCGGAGGAGTGCCGCCTGCTGTCCTTCACGCTGCGACTACCCGAGCACGCCGCGGCCAGTCCTCCTCACTACACGGAAGGCAACAACAACGACACCGACAACGTCGACAACAATGTCGACACTGTCGCAGCTGGCGACGACCGGCGCCCCAGCCCCAAGGCCAAGGAGCACGAGCCCGACACACCGCTGGGGCGGAGTGGCGAGCGAAGAGACCCGGAAGTGGTCAAGGCCTTGTCGACGACGGCGCGGGTGGAGGAGAAGGAGAAGGAGGTCTTCCTCCACCTGGGTCGGCTGCGGGTATACGGCGACGTGCTCGACATGTACAAGCTCGAACAGCGCGAGCAGGAGAAGAAGGCCTTCAAGCGGCGCAGCGCGCGGCTGGCCATTAGTGCCAACGACGAGACCGCCGCCACGCTCGACGACTCGGCCCTCTCCACCACCACCTTCGCCTCATCGTCGCCGGACGAGCCCTCGTCGTCTGCCGAACCGGCGGCGACGGGGCCTTCGCCCTTGGTAGTGAGCGGCGGCTTGATGGCGGCGCAGGCCGCGGCGGCGAGTGCGACGACGGCCGGCACGAGCGTGGCGTCGTTCCTCGCGTCGCTGCCGTCGTCCCTCTCGTCGCCCTTCACCTCGCCCTCGCCCACCTCCGTACTCCCGCGCGACCTGCCCCTCACCGGCCTCGAACGGATACTCTACGACCAAATCATGAACACCCCTTCGCCTCGCGTACGTCTGCCACGCACACGCACACGCACACGCACACGCACACGCACACGCACGAGCTAACGCGAGTGTGAATGTGCAGAACTATAACTTGATCACGCCAGTGTGGGCGCAGTCGCGCAACGGGAAGCAGATGATCGACATCTGCATCGAGCCGAGCACGGTCACGGGCTTCGTGGCCCTGGTGCGGCACGGCGACGAGGGCTACCTGTCGCAGGTCAAGCTCATCCGCGTGCTGGCCATCGTGACGGGCGAGGCCAAGGGCGAGATCGTCTCCTTCCGCCCCGTCGGTCGCTTCGTCCTCCCCAAGGCCCGGCCACGCACCTACCTCTGCTTCGAGTTCTCGTCGTCGCCTTCCTCATCATCATCATCATCGTCTTCGTCGTCGTCGTCGTCGTCGTCTCCTTCATCAACGACGCCATCGTCATGTGCGACGCCGGCGCCGCTGCGGGCCAACATCCTCACCTTCCAATTCCTCTCCAACTACGGCGGGCGGGAGACCCAACCGCCGAAGATCTATCTCTTCAGCTCTGGCGCCTCATCGTCGTCGTCGTCGTCGGCCTCGTCGAGTTCTTCCTCCACCACCGAGCAGTAGCAAGGTAAGGTTGTGACGAAGAAAAGAAGAGAAGAGAAGAGAAGAAGGAGGTAAAAGTGCCACTATTTATTTGGAAGACACAAATTCAAACATATTACCTCGTGATTTCGTGGTTACCATGCAACGAGCAAGGCGCTTTCCTTTTTGGTGGAATATGACGGTTGAAAAAACAAAGAATTCAAACTAAAACACAAGCGCGGGGAGGCCACCAAACGGCGATTCCTTCATCGATTCCTACCCTCGCCCCTCAACAGCCTGGTCGATTCCCAAAGGTACAGTTCTTTCTTGTTTTTATTTCGCTTTAGAATTAGATTTAAACTCTCTTTCGATTTCTGAAATCTTTCAGAAATAACCTGTAATATTTGTTTATCTATTTATTGATTTTTAGTGGAGACATTTGGTTTCATTCATCTTTAGTTATATTTTAATACTTTATTTATTTATTGGGTGCAGAGAATGGAGGTGTCGGGCGGGGCAGACAGGACCGAAGAGGAGGAGCGGATGGAGGGCATGGACAAGGAGCTCATCCGGCGCCTCTCCACCCGCGACTTTGCCAAAGGGCAGCGCCTCGCCAAGGAACGCCGCTGGGAGGCCATACAGATCAAGGTATGCGCCCCCTTGGACACTCCCAGATAGGCGATGGGCCGCGAAGACCACGCGCTGATCTCCACTGGCTGGCCTTGCCTGCGACAGACGTTCAAAGCGTGGATCAACTGTCAGCTGGCCCCGCGTGGCATCAACGTGAGGGACCTCGACGCCGATCTCAAGTGACGCGCTCTCCCGCTCGCCTTCTCTCTTCGTTGTGCCTGTGTTGATGCTGTTCGTGCGTTGTGCGTTCTATTTCTAGGTCGGGGGTGGTGCTAGTGAACCTGCTGGAAGTACTCACCGGGCACAAGGTGGCCCGTCGGGACCGGGACTTCAAGCACGACCTCGTGCGCGAGATCGAAGTCCCCTTTTCGCTCGCCGTACGTTCCTAGTTTCGTTTTTTGTGCCTCCTGTGTTCGCTCGGGCTCGCCTCGCCCTGACCTGTCGCCCCCGCCCAACCCTTAGAACCTGCGAGTCGCGCTGGACTTCATCGAGCAAAACATCGGCCTGCGCCTGGTGAACTGCTCCGCCGAGGGTACTACGACGAACCTCGATTATTTAGTATATATCTTTATAGAAATTTAAGTTTATATATTTATATTTACGTATCATGCCATTATACAGAGATCGTAAAGGGCAACATCAAGATCATCCTGGCGGTGCTGTGGGTGCTCATTCGTAAGTTCCACATCGTCGACCCGGCCCTCCGCAACGCCACCGCCACGGGTACTCGAGATTTGCCTCCTCACCCACTCACGTCTGCGTTTTTGACCGATAATGATTGACTGCTCGGGTGTGGCGTGCCAGTGAGCGATTCCTCCGAGTTGCAGGGCGCGGCGGAGAAGCACCTGCTGGCGTGGGTGCGCGAGAAGACGTGCGGCCTCGTGGAGGTCACCAACTTCACGAGCAGGTAGCCGCGCTCTGTCCCACAATACATAGAAATGAAATCACTAATGACCCCCTCACCCCTCACCTCCCGCTTCGCCCCGGTGTGCAGTTTCCAGAACGGGCTGGCCTTCTGTGCGCTGTTGCATCACTACCGGCCTGACCTGATCGACTTTGACCAACTGCCCGACGACCCCAAGGCCAACCTGGAGCTGGCCTTCGACGTCGCCGAGACGCACTGCGGGGTCGCCCGGTACTCCTCCCCCCTCGCATGTCATCAGTCGCACATCGCATTCGTGTCAGGCTCACACCACTGCTACGTCGGCCGCCACCTTAACAACAGTTTGCTGGACGCGGATGACGTCATCGCGTACCCGGAGGACCTGTGCATCCTCATCTACGTCTCCTCGCTCTACCAAGAACTCGAAAAGGACAACGAAAAGAGGAAGATACTGCCACGCATATCAGCTGCCTTTAAGAACCCTTTGAAGGTATCCCGCCTCACACCGCACACGATCACACACACACACACACACACGACACACACACACATACACACACGGCACGACACACGACGCCACACACACGTTTGGCTAACTCGACTCGGTAGGCACTGGTGAAGGATTCGAACAAGAAAGCGGTGGAGCCGGTGAAGAAGCTGAGCCTCTCGAACAGCAACCTGATCAGCAGCGCTGGCGGAAGCGCCGGCGGGGGCAGCTCCGGCGCTGCCGCGTCGC